AAAGACTTAACTGGCAAGATATTGCGTAGATGTTCGAGTGCCTTAGAAACGGAATTTTCAGTACAGGCGTATGTTTCTGGTAGTGTCGATGATGGATTGCAATTTATTGAAAAAGAAAAAAGTGACGTGTATTATGCTTTTACTACCAAACCGTCGGGGTTCCTTAGTCATAAAAGCAGGTACGAATGAAGTTGTTATATTGAGGAATAAAAAATGATTTTTCGTTTTATTAAATGAAAAAATTCTATTTAGGGATGTATATGTTACTGAAGATGCTCCTTTTCCACCCATCATTCCTGCGTTATATTCACTTTATCATGATTTCGTGAAAGACCTTAAGAAGGCTACTTAATACGATGTTTAAAAGTCTGGTTTAGTCCTAATTAGTTAGACTAGATTAGTTAAATAATTTGGACGATTCAAACTTATTAGAACCAATAGTTTATTATATGCAAAAAATTTATCTGTAAATCAATATCATTAATTCCATGTTTTAAGACGAAGACTTCCCCGTGCTTTTTCATTATTCAATCTATTACATATAATGCTTATGGTAATGCTTTGAAATTAAAAAAATTCTTTATCTAGGAACACTAGTTGCTTGGAGAACTAAATAGGTGTCTATTTTGAATCTACGATTTTAGCTCCAATACATAAAAGGACATTTACATTTTTATCAGCGATACGTCTAATATATCATGACAAATTAACATACCGTATTTTCATAGTTTGTACAAGCTTACATTTAAAATTACTCTTACGAATTTCCGTTTTCTTCAATAGTTGGTACATACAGTATATTTTATATGTTACACTAATTATATTTGTTGGCATTAGGCTCGTAAGTTTAAAAGTCGGTTAATGGATCAAGCAATACAAATATAGAAAAATCGGTTTGTAATTCTTTTTGTTAAAAATGAACTCAATAACTTTATATATACAGTGGTGGTAGAATAAAATGGCACTTTTCTTTTATTTGTAAAAAATTATATTATGTAAAAAATTATATTATGAAAAAAGTTTTTTTTTTAAATTAATATTAATATCAATTAAAAATAATTTTATTAGTATTTTAAAATAATAATAATGTTTTCTTTAATATTAATAGAATTATATATGATTTTATTTAATTTTATTAATTTTATATTTAATTTTTTTATCAAGTTCAAATATTAAAAATTTTATATATTTTAAATTTTATTAAACATTCTAAAAAAAAAATTCTATAGAAAATTTTATAACTCTAAAATTACAAATAAAAATAATTGATTTTTAAAAAATTTTTTTAAATTTTTTTATTATTATACTGCATAAAAAAAATTATAAAAAGTTGTTTAAAAATATTTTAAATAATAAATTTATTATATAATAAAGATTTTAAACTTATTTACAAATATTCAATAAAATTTTTTAAAAAATATTTATAAAAATAATAATATAATAACTACAGTATATACAGTATAATATTTTTTTATATAAAAATAAAAATACAAATAAATATTTTATTTTAAATTTATTAATTTCTTTATAATAAGATTTTTTTTTGTTACTATTGTTTTTTTTTTTTTTAAAACAAAGATAATCATTAGTCTCTTGCTTTATTATAATTGACTTGTTATTACAACAATATTATATATGCTAGATTACATTACATCTCTTTTAATTATAAGAGCTGAATGCAAAGCTCAAAATTTGGCCCATTATTTAAATACCTATTAACCATCCAAACTAAATAATAAATTTATTTCAAAACCTATTAATTCTTGGATGGTACCCAGTGGAAGGCTGAGAGCTAAAAGAGTATCCAAACACATGAAGGCATTGCAGCCAGATATACAGATTTGCCTCCAAGTCATGGTTGGGATTTGGCACATTTGCTTTCCAAAGTTGGCTTGATGTATGGCAGGCGGAGTCAGTAGAGGGAGAAATATAGATGGTGTTACTTTAATGTATAAAGGCGCTACAGCCACTTTATGCAGGTTGACCTCCAAGTCACAAAAAGGATTTGGCATATCCATTGTTCAAGTGTGGTGGAAGTATTTAATGGATAGAGTTGAATTGAATTTTTATATAGACGTTGGTATCTAACCTTACATATAAAACCTATATTGTCGAGAAGTGAGTGATTGATGTCACCAGCTCTGTTTATAAGGGTAACTAGAATCCCTGATCTTCATGTATTGTCCTACTAGATTCCCATAAGACATAGCACCTAGAGATTCGGCCAATAATAGTATACACCAGTTTCTTAGACGTATCTAGTCTAGCCATCAACAAGTAAGCAACGTCAAATTTGGTAATAATGGTCATGCTGATTTTTTGGAAGGGGTAAACCGTCCATCCTTTTTTTAAAAAATCATGGAAGAGAAAAACTTGTTAAAGCCCACTTTTTGAAGAAGATTGTTGCTTCTTATATAGTTTTTGAGAAAATGGAGTCAACTGACCAGAGAAGTGATGAAATAGAGCATGGTATTTTTAGAAAGAAAGAGAGACCTAGAGAAGAAAAACTTCAGGAAGAAGGAAAAACCTAACTTCGGCAGGAAAGAAAAGAAAAAAGGGAAGGGGAGGGAAAGTATATAAAAGAGGAGATAGAAGAGAAGAGAAAAAAAAAAGAAAGGGAAATGAAAGGTTTGTAGCCAAAAAAAGGGATGAGGAAAGGAGGAAGCAAAGAAAAAATAGACAACTCAAAAAGTTTCCTAAAAAAGAAATTTTCAAGTGTAAAAGGGGAAGTGAAAAAGAGTTTTTTTTTTTTATTGTAGAAGAGCATTAGATGCAAAACTTTATTTAGTATATATATAATACCCAGATTATATCAAACATCTTTTACATAGTAAAATATGTAACTTATCTATGATACAAACTATTACTACCCTTGTTATACTTAATGTAACTTAGATTAGTTCTAGTGCTGGATGGTTAATGCCCTTCCAGAGCTAATATGCTAGGACTTGTGATTTGAATGGACTGATTAAATTTGTGGCTTATGAGTTTGTTAAGATTGTAGTATCGTAATGTGGATTTATAATGATTGTGACTAGTGTTACTGATTGGGTTTTGAATGTGCTGCCTGGACCCGTAAAACCATAATGGCAGTTTGTTTGATTGTAATTTTGCTAATTGGGTTAAGGGTTAAGTGAGACATGTGAAAAGCCCAGGATTTTCATATGAATATAATATTGGGGTTGTTGTACTGGTTAAAAAAAATATTGGGGTTGTAGTATTGACTAGGAAAAATGTTGGAATTATTATAATTAAAAGAATTGTTGGGGTTGTTATATTGTTAGAGAAAATCATTGAAGTATTATAATATTGTGTTATGATTGTTGTTGTTGTTTTAAACAGGCTTAAACTGGTTTAATTATTGTTGTGTTGGCTTATTGATATGTGATTGGTTGTTGAGTATATATAGATCGTTTGGAAGGGTAAAACTGTTTTTGGTTTTTGTAATTTGTTGAGTTTTTGTTGAAAATAAGTTGACACAGCAATGTGTATCACACAGAGGATGGTTGAGAAGGTTTGATTAAGACAAGCAAGAGACCCAAGAATTTTACTTAGGTATATTTTTAGAAATATGTTTGTAATGTTAGAAAATAGTATAGAGAAGTGATGGTAGCATGTGGATAAAGGAAGGCATATAAAAGCAAAGTTATAAAGGAGAACTGCCACGGGCCTTTTCTCATACAAACAGAGAACAAGCAAAACTCCCAAACTTGCTTGACCTCTGCCCAAAGGTTCTATCCCAATGCAACAGTGGTCTTTAATATTCTTGTATCCTTAAACTTATGGCATATATAATATAAAAAGAGAATGAGAAGTGTTTTTTCAAAGAAAATTACCATAAAAGGGAATTTTCCAAGAATCAGTGGTGAACAGGTGAGAGTTTTTTTTTTTTTTTGTTACTATTGTATATAATAAATTTAATAATTTAATTAAATAATCCAAATTTTTAATAAGTGTTGCTTCAAAGAGACAACTTAAATAATTCAAATTTATATTTCTAAAAAAAAATTATTTAAAATATTAAAGTATTAAATATAAAATTAATTAATAATTATTTTTTAAAAAATTTTAAAAATTTAATATATAGTATATATTTATAATTTCTATTAATTATAAATTTTATTTTTATTTTATTATTTTTTTTTTTTAAGGTAAACGTGCATCGATACGAATCTTTATTGATAATTACTATCGAGATTGACATCAAGTGTTTTCTACATATAGTTCAATTTTTGATTTATATTACTATGTCTTCTATATATAGAATTAACACTACCTATTGACTATTTCTAGTAACAGCTTACATATCCACCTTAATTACCCAACTATACGAACTTACACCAAGGAGATGTGTCCACACGTCAGGTGGGATTAATCCAGGGGATGGAAATCCTGCCACCAGTTTTAAACCATCTAAACCTGTTAATTCAATAAGACAGGGGCTAGTATACCTTTCAGGAATGATTAGAACACCCAGATATCCCGAATACTTTTTGTCTGGTTCCTTAGAGAAGGTATTATACTCCTTGTCACCACCTGCGGCTTCGGATTTCCTTTTTGGGGTCCTCTTCTTTTAAGCAAGCGCCAGATTGGGATAGCCCCAGGCTAGAGTGCTCTTTGTGCTATGGAGTCTGCCATGCCAGGGGGTTGTGGGCTTTTATCGGAGTTAGACCAGAAACCTTTCCTCGTGCAACCTTTCCTACTTCGACCTGTTTTCAGCCCGCGATCGTCAGAAAGACCAGAGGTCCCATTTTTATGCAGCCTAACTAATTTTGGTTAGATCCGGATGTTTGGGTATGACATCTATGGGAAAACTGATAAACCCACAAATGAAAAATAATTTTTGTGCATTTTGCCCCCTGTGGATATTGAACTAGGGACATGTGTTTGGCAATCTGGGAGCACTACCCACTGTGCTATGGACCCACAGGTCTTTGTTTTTATTTATATTTTTATTAAATAAAAAATAAAAATAAATAAATAAATAAATAAATAAATAAATAATAGTTATAAAAGAGGAAAAAAAAAACTCTTTCCCGTAAATCACAAATTCCTAAAAAATTTTCTTTTTTGGAAACACACAAAAACATTTCAAGAAAAACCAAAGAAAGCTTCCTAGGAAAACACCTACTAAGAAGGAATACTCTACTGCTTCCTTCCAAACCAAAGGAGGACACACAACACAGGTATATACTGAATTTAAAGGAATATAACTTTTTCTTTTATTTTTACAAATAGATACATACTTGTTGTTTCTTACTGGGAAAGAGGAAGAAACAAAGAATACAATTCACAGTAGAATAAAGGAGAAAGTCAGCACCGCACTTCACAAGCTACTAGCCAGTCGTGTAC